GCTCACGGCGTCGCACAACTGCGCGATAACTGCGATAGCTAGGAGCGGGCGTCTAAGAGGGGGATCGAGGATCGAGGGGGGTCGACAATCGAGGGGGGATCGAGGGTCGAGGAGGGTAGTGGATCGAGGGGGATCGAGGATCGAGGCGCGTGGGTGTTCGGGGCCTTCCGATTGAGGGGGATCTGAAGGGAGGTCGGGGATCCAGGGGGATCGAGGATCGATGTTTTCAGATATGTTTTTGCGGCCGCCAGAGGCCTGGAAGCCTCTGTGGAGCCTTCGTGGCCGCCGCCGCCGCCGCCGTCGCGGTCGTCGTCGTCATCGTCGTCGTCGTCGTCGCCGTCGTCGGAGACCTCCCGAGACGTCCAGGGGCGGGCGAACGTTGACGCTGCGGCGACCCCAGCGTGGGCGTTCAAAGTTGACGCCGCCTGCGGCCCGAACCCGTCGATCTCAAACAATCTGCGTCATCGTGAAGCCACGATACTTCAAAGTTGAACGATCCACGCGGTGTCAGAAACCAACGACAAATTCGTCACGACACGAAGCTGGCGTAACTCAGTCGGCTGTGTCCTAGCGTCTTCCCCCACTGGAGTACGAACGCGGCATCGACGAAAAGGAAGATCCAGAACAAAAAAGGGTGCAGCCTTGAGAGTTGGAGGTTGCTACCTACAACGACATGTAGTGCACTGGCCTGGCACAGACAAACGACATTTTGTCGTTTGTCTGTGCCAGGCCAGTGCAGCCAGCGCGCCACCAGAGATCGGGCAAGTGTGGTGGCAGGCCCCCACCAGCACCCCACTAGCGCTTTACCAGCATCCCATCAGGATCCTTTCATGGCCGCACCAGGTATAAACAGGACGCCACTAGGACACCACCAGCTGCCTCAGCGTGTGTGTGTGTCCACACCAACTACGCCCTGCTGGCTGCGCATCGATCTCGCGCCATCGCCACGTATCGGACGTTCCGCGCGGGCAGCGCTTCGGCCCTGTCCGCCATTAACGCCCGGATGGCCGATGTACTGCAGCTGCGATGGCGCACCGCGGGGTCCAACGAGACTTCGCCTGAGGACTCGGCCGCGCGCGTGCGCCCGCCGCTCGACTTTCTCCGCCTCGTCGACGCGCGCGGGGCCGCTACCGCCAAAAGTGTGTCTGTCTGTCTGTCTGTCTGTCTGTCTGTCTGTCTGTCTGTCTGTCTGTCTGTCTGTCTGTCTGTCTGTCTGTTTGTGTGTGTGCTTGCGCTCTATCGCTGGTGCAGCAATCCTGCTTCGCCGCCGACGAAAAAGTGTGCGTGTGTGTGGGAGAGTGTGTGTGTGTGTGAGTGGTGCTGTGCATTTTGCCCCCGTTTCCAGGGTGAGCTGCCCCGTTGTCGGCGCCAGCCGCCAGGGTACCACCAGGAGCCCGCTAGGACACCAGCAGGACACACCTCCACTGCCACCCAAACTAGCTTGGCGCAAGACCCAACCATATGCAGTGGTGGGTACCGTAGTTGTGAGTATCGTCTTCCGTGTTGCCCCAATACGTGGTCGGGAATGGTGTGGACCAGGCATGCGGGCCTAGCCACTAGGGCCTCAGGTGGAGCTCCCTATAGACCCACGAAGCGCGTGAGGGGTGCGCCGGAATGGTGTGGACCAGGCATGCCCTCGCATTGGGGCATTAGGTGGAGCTCCCTATGAGGACATGCAGCGTGTGAGGGTTGCGTCGACATGGCGTGCACCAGGCATGCGTGCCCTGCCACTTGGGCATCAGGTGGAGCTCCATTGGGGCCACGGAACGTGCGAGGGGTGCGCCAGAATGGTGTGGACCGGGCATGCGGGCCCTGCCAGTTGGGCTTTAAATGGAGCTTCCTATGGGGCCGTGCAGCGTGTGAGGGGTGCGCGGGGAGGGCGCGGACCAGGCATGCGGGCCCTGCCACTTGGGCCTTCGGTGGAGCTTCCTGTGGGGCTCACGAAGCGTGTGAGGGGTGTGCCGACATGGTGTGGACAAGGCATGCGGGCCCTGGCATTGAGGCCTTAGGTGGAGTTCCTCATGGGGCCACGAAGCGTGTGAGGGGTGCGCCGAAATGTTGTGGACCAGGCAAGCGGGCCCTGCCACTTGGGCTGTAGGTGGAGCTCACTATGGGGCCGCGAAACGTGCGAGGTGTGTGCCGACATGGACGTGCGGAGGGCAGAGGCAGGTATGGGACGAGTGGAGGAGGAGGGAGGAGGAGGGAGGAGGGAGGAGGCGGAGGAGGAGGAGAAGACGCGGGACGGTGTGTATTCGTACGCAACTCCACAGGATGCTTAGGAACAGCAGTCGCCCCCAGACCGTTCCAGGGTGCGTTTTGGCTCGAATTTCGAGGCGCATCCAGCAGTGGCAACGAGAAGCCTCCTGGAGTCCCCAAAAAGTGCTAAAACGCACAAAAGGATACACTTTTTTGATCCGCGGGTCGAGAGCGAGCCTCTTCCGATAGAAGCTAAGCGGGCCGCGCACAGCTTTAATTAGCAGAGGGGGGGCAAAAGAAGGTGGGGCCTCACGTCAAGGCCGAGAGAGGGCGAAGCCCTAGGATCAGGCGGTGCCGAAGTCGAAGTGCAGGAAAAGGTACGCCTTGGACAGGAGCCCGGTGGCGAAGTCTCGGGAGGCGAAAAGCCGGTGGTGGTGCCGTCAGCGGCGTTTCGAGTACACCAGCAGACCCAAGAGGATACACTCTCACTCTCAATCCCTCCATCCTTCGATCCTCCCTCCAGCCTCCGTCGAGGGGCGGCCGTTGGCGACTGCGGGACTTCTACGAGCTGCTCGTCGCCTGCCGCAGCGAGCCGCCCCTGGCGGCCGCGGGGCCACTCGGGGCGCGGGAGCCGCGCCCGCTCCGGGCCGAGCTGCCTCGTCGTCGTCGTCGTTCTCCTCTCCCTCCTCCTCCTCCTCATCCTCCTCCTCCTCCTCCTCCTCTTCCTCCTCCTCGAGCCCGGCGCCCTCAAGACGGCCTAGGACGACCCTAAGGGAGACCCAGGTTGGCCCCAGGGCAGTCCAAGAGGCTCCCAAGAGGCCTCCAAGACGGCCCAAGAGGCCCCCACACACGCCCCAGGAGATGCCGAAGAGGCGGAATCCGGGAATTCGAAGTGGCTTCGGGAGCCTTTCCTTTCTCCTTTCAAGATCGCTCACAAGACCCACAACATAGTCCCGAAGGGCCCCCAAGAGAGCCTTAGAGGCCTCCAAGACGCTCCGAGGAGACCTAAGATGTCCCCAGGACTCCCGAGGGGAGGAGGAGGCGGAGGAGGAGGAGGAGGAGGAGGAGGAGGAGCGAGGAGCGAGGAGGAAGGAGGAGGAAGGAGGAATGAGGAAGGAGGAAGGAGGAGGAGAACGAGGCTGCGGACAGGGAGGGCTTTTTCACGAGAAGTTCCAGTCCAGTGCCCTGTCTGAATTTGAACGTGTCTTACTGTACACCTTCTTCCTGCTATGCTGCCGCCCTGCTGCGAAGGCATGTTGGCGGGGCTTGCCGCAGGCGCTAGACATCAATGAATTCGGGAAGGCGTATGGTGCCGATGTGGTTTCGGGCAGGCTTCTGGCGCCTGCGCCCTCTAACGCTGGGTAGGCGTATGGTACCCTGTCGTGCCAAACGGTCCCGCGCACAGGGACTTCACCCCCATTTCCCTTATGGTGGGGAGGCTGGTCTGCGGGCCCGTCTGCGGGCCTACCTGCGCTCACGCCACACGTGCGCCATCAATGGTGAGGGGACGTGAATCAACGGAAGCACATACTCATCATCTTGTTCCCCCCCCCGCAGCGTCGGACTTTGGACATGTTTCCCGGCAGGCGTCAGGCAAGACCATGGCCAGTAACAAGATGGGCCCACCTTGCCCAAACCAAGGCTCGAAGTCTGCACTCCCACCCTCCTCAAGTCCTACGCAGAACATGCGGGTCGTAATTGATCGCAGAATTGCTGAATCGGGTCGTGCTGGCATCGCTCGTGCAGTTGCTCCTTCTCGTACTGCCCACCGACTTACACTGAGTTCCAGTCGTTTCCTCCCTGCCTCTACGCCTCGGGACCTCGGCGGATCGGGCGCGGCAGGGCCCCTTGGGCCCACGGTTCTCAGGCCGCCTCCTCCTCCTCCTCCTCGCACCTCCTCTCCTTCATTTCTTCCAAGTGGCCTGAGGAGCCCCCGAGCCTCCTCGGTGGGCGCGAGCTCTGCGGCATGCGAGTCTCGCTGCCGCCGCACCCCTTCTGTGCTCCTGACGCCTCGCGCACCGCGAGCCGCGGGACCCACCTCGAGGGCCCCCGCCCGGACTGGAGGGGGGTCCTGGCCCCCACTGCCCAGCACTCTTGCACTGCTCTGTGCCTTCCTCACATGCTGCCTCCTCATCGCGCTCCTTGGCTGCCGCACTGTCAGCCGTCGAGGCTCCCCTGCGTTTCAGCCTCGGACCTCTCGGTCCCGGTTGCCCTGCGCCTGAGCCTCAGGCCAACGCGGCCGCCTCATGCGCTCCTCATACCATGGTCAGGTCCGCGGCCGCCATGCTGCTAGCTACGCCCTGCGCCATGTCCCTCGCCTCCCACAAATAGCCCTGGAAGGCGTCGCTGTTCCACCGCCCCCAGCGCTGCACCAGCGCTGTGTCCTTGAACGCCGCGTAGAGCGCTGACGCCCCCCCGATCCTCAGGCTGTGGGAGCCCAGGTCATTCGGGTCGACCCCCTCCGCCACGGCCGACTGCATCACCACGCGTTGGACATCGACCCTGGTGACGAGCTGCATGTCGTCGTAGGCGAAGAGCGGGTCGTACGACCGCGCTCCGGAGAACCTCTCGCGCGCCCACCCCTCATAGATCGTCAGCGCCTCCACCACGCAGATGTGCTCGTCGTCCGCCGTGCCTGGTGCTGCTTCGACCCTGAAGTGCTTGCGCCATTCCCCTCGATTGTACTGGTCCGTCTTGCTGGCCCGTATCTTGATGACGACTTCATTTGCCTCAGGCCAGCTCCTCGTCGGTTCGCCCGCTGCAGTCGGCGTGGCGTCCACGCCCCTTAGGCCCTTGCCACTGGTGTAGCCATTCTGGTCGCCCGACACGCACTCGCTGGCCCTCAGCAGGAAGAAGTAGCCCGTGGCATCCGCAGCCCATAGGGCTGCGCCCTCGCGTGACCTCTCCGGCTGCAGCTTCTTCTGGATCCACCTCATCATCCTGGGCGTGACAGGCTTCTTTCGCTTGGCGTCGCTGTCGCGCCTCCTCAGCCAGTCGATCGCCATCCAGAGCTTGCCCGCGCCCGCTGTGAGATCAGGCCGAGGGCAAGGTGCTTGCTGGGCCTGGACGGCACTCAGGCACTGCTTGACGGTGCCCGCTTTCTTGTACCCTCGCCTCGACAGGTGCACGACGAACTCCTGCATCAGCTCCTCCTCGTCCCTTCGGTTCGTGGGCGTGACCTCCCTGGGGGGGCTGATGCCCCTCGCCCGACAGAACAGGGACCACCACCTCCAGCCAGGGCTGTAGGACTTGATGGTGGAGCTAGCCAGCTTGTCCAGGATGAGCTCCAACTTGGCTTTCTCCCAGTCCTCGCGCGTCTTGAGGTCCGTCAGCGTCAGATCGTCCGGCCTAGCGTTCTCCCTGACCGCTTCGGGCCCCAGCAAGTTGGGGGGCCTGTTCTCGACCGGGTCCACGCTCTTGCCCTTGCGCTTCTTCTTCCTCTGGGCTTGGCGCCTGCCTTCCAGTCCTCGGCCTCTCCCGAGCACTGCGCTGCCCGAGCCCAGTCGGGCCATCCGCCCCTCTGGTCGGGGTACCCCCACGTCCGGACCATCGCGTCCAGCTGCTTCCTGGCCTCATCCTGCTCTAGGCATCCGCTCCTGCGGCTGTCCTCCTCGCGCCTGGCACGTCTCCCGCTGCCGTCGGAACCCTGGCCTCGCTCAGCTCCTCGTGCGAATGGCTCTAGGTGAAGCCTGAGTCCCTCCGGACTCTGGCCGGCTCCGCCCGTGCCTCGGGTATCCCGGAGGTAGCGGGCCACCGCCTCAGGGTCGATGCCTTCCAAGTATGGCTCACTCTGGCGCCTCTCTCGAGGGCGACGGCCTCCGGGCCGGTGCAGCCTTCGAGGTGCTCCGCCATCCTGCGCCTCGTTTCCTTCTTACGGGCTTCCTCGGCCTCCTCGTCCTTGTCGCGCTTGATCCTGACGGCCCGCGCTCTCAGCGCCGCCATGCGGGCTTCGTTGTCCGCCTGGAGCTGCGCTGCCTTGGCGCCGTCTTCTGGCCTGGAGCCCGCCGAACCTGGCGTCGATCCTCTGCCACCTCCTCCGTCCTCGAATGTGGCGAGCTCTCCTCGCGGCTGGCCGCGGAGCTCGACGGCCCTCCCGGGCCCCGGCACGGGAATAAGTTCCCTCTACGCGGTGGCGGCTCCCCGCCCCCTGGTGGGCTGTGGCGGGGCGGAGCTAGCCTCCTTCCTAGCATCTGCTCTGCGTCTGCCCCTCTCCAAGGACCTCGACCTCCGCGGCTCCTCCCCCCGCGCGCTGGTTCCGCGCCTGGGTCCGCGCGGCGCCGCGGCTGCTGCTGCGCCGTCTTCGCCCCGACTGGCGACCCGTTCCGCCGGGCCCCTGTACTTGCGGCCCAGCGCAGCTCGGTCCAGGCGCTTGATGCCTTCACCCTCCGACTGCGGCTCCTCCTTGACCTCCTGTGGCAGCATCCTCATCCATGGGCGAACATGCGGCCCCTCCGATACCGCGCGCCCCATGTTCTTGCGGGCTGCCCTCCTGGCTGCCCCTGCCTCTGCTTTCGCCAGGTCCGCTTCAGCATGCTTCCTCCTTCTCTTCTCTGTGGGGGACGGCGGCGGGCACTCGGTCGAAGGCCCCCCCCTGCCCGACGAGCCCCTCCGTTCCGCCACGTCTTGCTGGAAGGCGGCCCCGCTCCAGCCGATGCTGCCAGACGGAGGGCCCGACATGGGCGCCTTCGGCGGCGCTGCGCCGCCCTGCTTCTTCTTCTTGCCCCGTCTGTCCCCGCTCCCCCCGGGGGGCTGGCCACCCGTGCCCTGGCCAGGGGGGGCCTTCTCGCAGTACTTGTAGTGCTTAATCCCTCCATCTGCCCAGTCCCCACCCAGGTGCCTGCCTCCGCACTTGTCGCAGCAGTAGCCGGGTTTCCAGAGCTGCTTTGGATCACTATGCGCGGCGTAGGTGCAACCCAGGTGGAGGCATGGCGAATTGGGCTCGCGAGTGCCGCGCCCCGCGCGCGTGCCCCAAGGATTCGAAATGGCCCTCGTGACCTGCGTTCTCCAGCTTTTGCCGACAGAATCAGCTGCGCGCGCCTGCGCGGACGATCTGCCGCCGCTCGAGCGCCGACGCGGAGGTGCGGGGTTGGCCGAGTGCGATGCCAAATTGGCGCGCTCGGGCAAGAGTTGTTTGTTTTTTTTTTGGGGGGGGGGGAGAAGGAGAGGGGGGGGGGGGGGGGCGGATGCGGAGGCGGATGCGGAGGCGGAGGCGGACGCGGACGCGGAGGCGAGGAGGTTTTTCCCGCGAGCACAGCGTGGGCGAGCACCTCGCGTCCACCTGCGTCAGGCCTGGTTAGTCCTCCGCGCCGCCTGAGGCGGCGGAGGAAATTTGTGCCTCCACGCCACTTCCCGCGGCGGAGGCCCTGGCAGCATTCCCAATCGATTCCAGAAACTCCAATTCCTGGGTTCTGGTCAACGCGACCACCTCTCCAGGCGGTCTGTCATTCTTATAAGGATGCTTACCTGCCAGCAAACGATTACGCCGAGTCATGGCTTTGTGGCCCCTCGGGTCCTTAGGGCCACCTGTAAGTAACCCACAAGCCCTGGCGCTCAAACAGGCGCCGCACTCTCGACAAGAGGTGTGGTGGCCAATTCGAGACAGCATGTGTCGCCTCGGCCCCTCCAAAG